GGGGGTCCACACCTCACCACACGGGGGTACACACCTCTCCACACGGGGGTACACACCTCACCACACGGGGGTACACACCTCACCACACGGGAGTACACACCTCACCACACGGGGATACCTCTCCACACAGGTCTGGGGCTGTGCACTGTGCTGGCCAAATGAGGCTTGCTCAGAGACCCCGACATCTGATAGCTGGCCTCGCAGGCCCACTCCCCAACTCAGCCTTTGATTCCGTTAAAGCTTGAAAACACTGATGACTCATTGGCAGCCCTCCTCACAGAGCCCTCCCGGCCCATAGAGACCACACCGTACACGGAGCTTCTGTCGCTCAAGGAGTGAGTTGGAGCAGAGAACGGGGCTGTCCCCGCTGATAGGAGGCGGCTTGGCACTCCTGCCCAGCTTCCCAGGTGTTCCACGTGTCTGTGTTCCCATTGTCATTTCCTCCTGAAACAGACGTGGCGAGGTCATGTCGGGGAAGAGGATACCGTCCACTAAAATCAGTGACACTTCTCTTCATCCCCGAGAGGGCTGTGACAAGCATGCCCCTCCCCCATGCTCTGGGCACCCCAGGTCACACCTTAGCCACCTCGTGGTCCTCTGTCACCTCCAGGGCAATCATGGTGGCCCAGGGCCTGGTGGAGGCCCCGCGCGAGCCAGTGTCAGGAGGTCCCCAGGTGGGCCAGGCCTCTGGATCTGCCCAGCAGACACTCAGTCTCTCCTTCCCGAGGGCTAGTCCCAGCCGAGCCTGTGTCCCCCATTCTGGCCAAGCCCTGGGCTAAGGGGCAGGGCATGGACTCGGGGACAACTGGTGTTGGCAGGAGGCAGGGCCTGGGGCCACCCCCAGCATCACAGCATGACCAGTGAGCTAGGTGACCCAGCCACTCGGCACGCTGCCGTGAGACTTGGAGCTGTTAGGGGACATCGTCCAGGAGGAACCCAGGTCCCTCACCTCCCACCCCACTGCCTTCACTGTGTCCTGAGGCCTTGGGGCCCCCTCCACCAGGCCACACCCCTGGGGAACCCCACAGTGCTAGATTGTCCGTGTCAGCCCTCCTGCCACAGCGGCTTGAGTTGGGCGAGGCCTCTCAGCTGAAGAAGTGGTGGGTGTGATGTCAGGCACCACTCACCCAGTACTCAGTGCAGCTGATCGTAGGGCCCTGCTGCTCCCAGTTCGAGCCAGTCAGGGCGGGATCTTCCCCTCCACCTGCTCCTGACCCAGGAGCAGAGGCTGAGGTGGACAGCCTGTGATGACTGAGAAGTCAAGGCCAGGGCAGCCGGCTCAGGACCACCTCACAGCCCAGGACCCAGCGCTTCCCTTCCGTGTGCGGCTCCCTCCTGGGAGACATACGTGTGCTCATGTGGCCACACGCATGTGTGCGAGGGTTGAAGTCACGTCTGTGGGTGTGTGCACTGGTGTGTGGGTGCGCGCCAGGCTTGGAGGTGAGCCCACCTGCGAGCGCCAGGTGCCAGGCCATGGCTCACGGCGTCCTGGTTCCAGGTGAGCCACCAGCTGGGCAGCCTGATGGACCTCTTCACCACCAGCCTGTCCCTCGCGGGCCTCAAGCCTCCCGATGACCGGGAGATCGATGGCCTGGACCTGCTGCCCACCCTCCTGAGGGGCCAGCTGGCCGACAGGTATGACTGCAAATGAGGGGGTGGTGGAGGGCCAGGGGGTGCTAGTGGACCAGCCCAGGGCCCTCTGATACCGGCAGCCTCTGCAAGGTGGGGAGGCATCACTGCCCTGACCCCCGTCTCCCTGGTCTCCGCTCGTCCATGTCAGGGCCACAGCCCCTGTGACACTAGGGAAGCCCACTCCCTCCCACCTCCGCTTCTTCCACACCACCATCCCTCACCCAGAAAGGAGGCACCCCGCAGGACCGTGAGTGCCCACTCTGACCAGACAGACTGGGTAGCAGGCCCTGGAGGGCGGGCTGCTCCAAGTGCCCAGTAGCCTTCCTGCTGGGCATCTGTGCCGCTGGCCAGCACATCCACCGCTCGTCAGCATGCACTGAGAAGACAGGGTCCCTCATGGTCAGGTCCCTGCCTCACTCCTAGCCCTGCCCCCACAGGGCCATCTTCTATTACCGTGGCAACGAGCTGATGGCTGCCACTGTGGGCCAGTACAAGGCCCACTTCTGGACTTGGACCAACTCCTGGGAGGAGTTCAGACAGGTAACGAGGTTGGGGCCAGCGCCGAGTGCCCCCTTTGAGGCTCAGGGAGCTGACCATCCTTGAGCGGGACAGTCCCGGGCATGTACAGGACCAGGCAGCGCTGATGAGGACCTTGGTGATGCTGAGGCCAATGGTACCTGTGTCCCTTCCCTGCCTGTGGGGTCCCCTTGCTGGGGGCATCAGAGACCCAGGAGGGCAGATCAGGTCAGCTGTGGGAGGCCTTCCGGGGAGGTGAGCCAGAGTACCCCTGCCCCCTCCACATGCACCAGCCCTTCACATTGGGGCCCCTGGGCGTCTGAGGGCTGCACGGCATCACTGTCCCTCTTAGCGAGTCGCAGGGCTCTCTGCGCCCCCCCATCTGTGACTGCGTCGGTGGTAGCACTTGTCCAAGGCTGAAGGTGAGACGAGGGTGTGTTCCTGGCAGGGCCAACCACCACCTCCCCATCTTCTGTCACCCTCCTAGGGACACACTCCTCCTAGGGCTGTCTCAGTCCTCAGCACTGACGCTGCACCCCAGAATGAGGATGTATTCTCACAACGTAGGCATGGGGTCCTGGTCAGCACAGTCCCCCAGCCCAACCCCAAGATACATGAAACCTTCAGACCAGCCTGGTCAGAGGGTGCTGAACACCCCCAGCAGGCAGGTGCCCCAAGCAAGCAGATGGTGGCCATGGCTGCCCGGCCTCCCTCATCACTACCCTGGGCCTGCTGCCACTGAGTGGGGGGACTGGGGTCCCAGGATACACAGGGCACTCCACCCATGGGGCTGTCTCTGTGGCTGCGGGACATGGGCCAGGCCGGCACCCCCTCGGGTCACTGACAGGCCAGGCCAGCACCCCCTGCATTCACTGTCCCGCTGACAGGCCAGGCCGGCACCCGCTGCGTTCACTGTCCCACTGACAGGTGAGGCTGAGCAGAGTTCCAGCTACCTAACAGAGATGGGATTGAGGGTCCTGTCACCGTATTCTGACCTTTTGCCCTGGGCATCCTGGGAGTCCCCGAACCCCTCCACACCATCCGACTTGCTCCAGAAACCCCTCCCTGATTCTCATTTGCAGTCTCCAGGGACTGAAGTAGAAGTATCAGCTGGGGGCGGGAGGCGTTGGACCTCCTGCTCTTCAGACAGCAAGAGGGGATGTCCTGGGGAAGGCCTGGGGGCCAGCCCAGAGTGAAGGGTCCCCTCCCCTCCTGGGGCACAGCCATCCACACAATGGTGGCTCCTGCCCCACTTTAGGGACATGTCCTGGCACATGTCCACAGCCCCATGACCTCACGGAGGGCTCCCCCAGTGCTGAGCTGGTGGCCAGTTGACTGTTTAGTGTCCTATCGCTCGGGACTGCAGGACTTAAGCTCTGCACACTGCCCATTGCACTACCAGCTGGGGGCGGGGGGGGGAGGTTGGACAGTACCCTACTGTTGCAGACTGAGGGTAAAGTATTTCTATAATTATTAATAATGAGACAGACCACCAGGAATGATTAGAGAGCAGAGAGTGTGAAAAACGGGGCCAACGGTTCCCATGACTGAAGGCCCCAAGCCATGCTTCTCTGAGTATTTATTTAGAATCATAAGGAAGGTAAACAAAGTAAAATCATAAGGAAGTACAAAACAAAGGATAATGGTGTAGTCTTTTACAGATAAGGCCAAGTTCCTCTTTATGCTAATCTCAGGAGGGAGGGATTCAGTTGATACAAACTAAGAGCAATGTTGACTCTTAGGGAACACCTTAGTGCCACAAGGTGACCTTCAGCTTGTGTTAAGCCTCCCTCATTTCCTGATATAGTATTTGGTCTATTAGTAAATTTGATATTCGGCTTCCCTCACCCTACCATGGTAAGGGCCCCATGGAGGGCACACGGCCCAGGGCATGCTGTCCACAGAGCATGTGGACAAGGTGCTCTCCCTCAGTGAGTCTTTGGCATGCCCACTGCACGGGGCGCAGGCCTGAATGCCACTGTGCCACTTGGGACTTGGGGAGGGAGAGTCCCAATGTCCACAGGGCAGGAGGCTTGGTTGGTGGTCAGCGAGGTGCCTTTGTGTTCATTCTGACTTATAGTGACAAGACACTGTCTAGTCTCTGCAGCAGATGAGTGTACCCTGCCTGGCACCCGCCTCTCCAGATACAGCCTGAGGCTTGGGGGTCTCAGCATGGGGGAGTGGGCAGCCATGTTGCTCCTTCCCTGTCAGGCCTTCCTGGTGGGCACTGGGCCCAAAGAATGCCCATTGCAGATCTGAAGACCCCAGGGGCAGCCTGCAGGCACCAGGAAGTGCTCTCCTGCCTGGACCCTGGTCTTGGAGAGCCACAGGGCTGGACCACTCACCTCTGTGTCAGGTCAGCTGTGACCCACAGCAGAGGCTGCCCCAGGGGCCCAGCTTGGACAGCGGGTAGCGGCCTTGGAACACACACTGGGGCCAGGCGTTCCGGTCTGTGCCTCTGCATCCCAGGCTGCAGCCACCCCTGTGCTTTTAACCCGTCTTCTCAGTCCTCGGGCCTGCTATCACGGCCCCCTTATTTTTAATGTTTTCTTGAGAGGTGAGTGGAAGTTTACAGAGCAGATGGGCGTTTGTCCCAGTTGATGCCTGTCTCTTCCCACCCCTACCCCATCCCTCCTTGTGTCTGCCCGTCCCTCCTTGTGTCTGCCTGTCCCTCTGTCATTTGCCTTACTACCGTGGAGCTGCAGCCCTGGACCGAGGCCGCCCTGCCACCCTGTGTGGCCCAGTGGCTCCCTGTTGTTACTGATCACCTTGTCCATCTGTCTGTTGGCTGAAGGTTGGGCCATGGGGGTGAGTCTGTCCCAGGCTCACAGTCACTTTAGGACCCTGATGCCTGGACCACTGTGAGTCCTGTACTACTGGGCTATCTTGTCACTTGCTCCGTGTCCTGCCCTGATCTCCCCCCTCTCCTCCCCGGGGCAGACAGAACAGCAGGTCAGAAACATACTGTCTCCTTAGGAATGGTGAAACAGAGAGATGAGGCTTGGTGAAGGCAGTCATTGACCGCCAGAGTGGCAGGCAGGGTCCCCCGTGGTCACTGGCTGTGCTGTCCAGCCCCAGGATCCTGGTCAAGTCTACCTTCCTTGCCTCTCTCACAGGGCGTCAATTTCTGTCCCGGTCAGAACGTCTCGGGGGTCACCACCCACACGCAGGAGGACCACACAGCTCTGCCTCTGCTGTTCCACCTGGGACGAGACCCCGGGGAGCGCTTCCCCCTCAGGTGAGCAGAGGAGCCAGCCGGTCTGGCGCCCACCCACTACCTTCCCATGCAGGGCCACCCAGCCACACCTCCCAGGTGCCCATCACGCACAGCCTGACCACCCAGGGGCCCTTCACAGCCCGAGGGCCTTGTTCCCTTGAGAGCCGCCCATGTTCGGCCCTGGCTGTGGTCCAGGCCCTCAACCCCTGTCCAGTTGTGGGATGTCTTTGGTGTCCTCTCCACCCACTGCTGGGATCCAGAAGTCCAGGCCAGCCTGTGACCCAGGCCCCCTCTTTCCAGCTTTGCCAGTGTCGAGTACCAGGATGCCCTCCGCCAGCTAACCCCGGCCATCCAGAAGCACCGCCAGGCCTTGCTGCCCGGCCAGCCCCAGCTCAATGTGTGCGATCCGGCCGTCATGGTGAGTGGGCCCTGCATGGGCTCCAAGTCCACACTCGTGGCTGCTGCATGCCCCCTCGCACTGGCCACCCTGAGGGCACTGGCCGCCCCAGGAACAGTCCCACAACCTCCTGTCAGACAACACAGCTCAACTTGGCCTCCTGAAGATCAGTGAGATAAAACCACTTCCTTTTTGGTGGAAAAAGGGCTGATTGCACCACTCCCAAGGAGCGTGCTCTGCAGTGGCGGGGTCCCTGGAGCCAGGGGCTGCCCACTTAGAGGACGGAGTTCGTGAGTGTGGTGCTGCCCCTGGGACCGCCTCCCAGTCGGCTGTCCTCAGGACTCGGCTGCCCGGGGTCAGGTTCCAGGTGCAGGGAGGAGAGATGGCAGAGGGGGCGCCATCTGCTGGACAGCAGGAACAAGGAGAGCCCAGGGCCTGTGGTTCACATACGTGTCAGCCCGCGTGGGCACCAGTGTGGAGCCTTACGTGCTCACTCTGGTCAAGCATGTGGGTCCTGGGGGCAGGAGTTGTCCTGCAGCACCTACAACAGCTGCATCCCTTCCCCCCCTGCACACTTGGGCCAGCCTCCCACACAGCAGCCAGACCTGCCCAACACAGCCAGGGACCCCTGATTCAGGAGTGTCAGGCCAGGCCCAGCGAACAGTGCCCAGGGCTGCTGAGACCCTGCGAGGGGTGACTCCTCTGGGTATGGAGGGAGGTGTCCAGCAAGGTCAAGCTGCACTGCCCTCCAGGCTAGAGGGCTTCACGAGGGGCAGGCTTCCTTCCTGACACGTGTCCTCCCCTGGGTAAGGTTGTGCAGCCATGCGAGAGAGAGACCCAGACAGGAGAGAGGCAGAGAAGGGGAGAGACACTGAGACAGAAACAGAACAGATAGACACACAGGCAGAGAGAAACCCAGAGATAGCGGGGCACTGACAGAGACAGGGGGCACAGGCACATGACAGAGGGGGAACAGGGAGGGGGCACTGGTAGAAAACAGACCGAAAGGCAGGACCAGAGAGAGATAGCCAGGGCTCACGACCTCTACCACGCTGAGGTGACCCAGCCACACTCAGGCTCAGCTG